GCGTGGTGTTAGATGAAGATGTTGCAGAGTGTTTGTTGAAGTAGACTGTTGCATGGCGTTTGCTGAAGAAGATTGTTGTATGGTGATTGTTGAAGGAGATTGTTGCATGCATGGCGTTTGTTGAAGTAGACTGTTGCATGGCGTTTCTTAAAGGAAATTGTTGCGTGACGTTTGTTGAATGAGACTGTTGCTTGTCTTTTGCCTGTGTTGACTGCGAATGTGATGACGAATTTGCAGTTTCATTGTCGTTTCCTTTTTCCTCCGACAATTTGAGTCTTTTGTGAATGGCTCATAACTGCAGGTGAATTTTCAGACCCTTACGTCCCTTGCAGAATTCACCACAGCAACATTTAATTAAGTTCTTATTAATATCGGTATTTATTCAATAATTATTAAGAGAATTTGAATTAAAAATGTTGGCAGAGATATTGACGTTACCATGAAATTGGCTGTATTTTTTGCACAACGCCAGGAGTGCCTAACAACACTTTCAAACGTTTATTTTTTGTTAGGGTTAGCGTTAGTACTGTATAAAATATGGTCTCCTTCCAACGTGTGTGTGCGTGTGTGTGTTTGTGTGTGTGTTGATGAAAATCACAGCAGTGTTGATGAAAATCACAGCATGTTCGGTTTAATTAAATTCCAATTTAACTTGCTTGGACGTTATTTTTTATGAAAAGAATCATAAAAAATAACGTCCAAGCACGTTATTTTTTATGATTCTTTTTATGATGATGGACGTTATTTTTTATGAAAAGAATCATAAAAAATAACGTCCAAGCAATCAACGAGAATAAAACTACGAATATGCTACTTCAACCAAAGAACGTTATCTCTTGGGATGAAAAACAAGTGCACTAGTAAACCAGAATCGATAATGGATCATAGCCATCTAATATATTTGTTCAAATGTAATATTGGTGAGTGTGGGCACCATAATTCTGAATATATTGGTATGAGGACGACCAAGTTACGTTTCAACACATCATCTTGGGGTGGTTGCTGCTCCTCCACCTCCACCTTGCCTTCAGCATCTCAACAACATCGACTTCAATAATATCTTCGACTTCAACATCACCACCACCAACAATACTCTACCAACAACTTTTTTATAATATTAGTATTGATTTTGATGATATTAAAAAAAAGATAATAGTCCTACTAATAGTAATAATACTTGTAACAACAATAATAATATTAACAATGGTGCCAATGGTAATAATAATAATAATAACAATAACAATATTAACGATAATACGTTCATAACTAACTCTATTGACAATTTTTTGCAACAATGTTTTGATAAATTTTATAAAATCATCAACTCAACTTACAACACGTACTACCCAACATCAAACATCACGATCAGATTATCAGATCCTCCATTCATCAGCCCATTCATCAAATATATCTACTTCGCCAAAAAAATATATTCATGAGATCAGGATTCATCCTCAAAGCCGCAGCGATCACCAAATACATCAATAAACTAATCATCAATCTTTAACTCAAAAACTTTCACTAATAGTAAGCGTGGAAGCAAAGCCAAGCGGGACCAAGTCAGCAAAATTAGAAGCTCTGACAAATCATTCAACACGTCAACCTCAGGGCAAATTGATGCCGACACACTCAACACCCACTTTGCTTCTATGTCAACCGACCCGTCCTACAAAATTCCACCAACAAAAGCAACAACAATCAATAGTCGTTAACATCAACAATTTACCCCATACTCCGTCCTGCACATGCTTACGAAGGCCTGTCTATCTGGTACAGGTCTAGACAGTCTACCGGCATGGTTTCTACAAATCATCGCTCCATTCATTTCCAGCACCTTAAGTTCACTCAACAATCATTGCTTAATGCATTCATTCATCTCATCACAATGGAAATCTAGCACAATTCATCTTATACCCAAAACAAAATACCCATCATCACTAATAGATTATCGCCCATTATCTATCACCCCCATATTTTCACGTATTCTAGAAAAATTCATCGTTAGGTCATTCATCTATCCATGTTTCAACCATCCATCCATCAAACCACTATTACAAGATCAGTTTGCATTTCACCCTACAGGTTCATCTACATCCGACATCATCTCTCTTATTTCCAATAACATCTTTCCTTAAAAATAATAATTGTGTTCATCTCATCAAAACTCGACTCATTAACTCCATAGTCAAAACTATACAATCTGTCACTTAACCTCAATAAATCATTTGAACTCATCATTCTCAATAGCCGAAAGAAAATAACATTACCTCTAGAACACCCATCAATCATCAAGTCAATTAAAAATATTAGGCATCACATTCACCACACTTACTATTGCACCTCATATTAATCACATCATAACAAAAGGCTTTCAAACATTTCACGCACTCAAAACACTCCGCTTACATGGTCTCAGAGGCATCAAATTATTCGACATCACTGAATCACTCATAATCTCACGCATCAAATATGCAGCTCCCTCCTGGTCTGGTTTTGCTACACAACAACAACTTCACAACAACGGCATCATATCCTACCTTCACTCAGTATATTTAACACAATCGATTCAAGACTGTTCAAGAAAGTAGAAAATAACAACAACCACGTCATCCATCCTCTACTACCACCAATCAAAACTACAACACACAACCTTCGTCAGCGCAAACATAACTATCAAATTGCCACCCAATCTACATATCAGGAAAAGACTTTCATCACAAGACACCTCATTCACACAACTAGTTTTTATTTAATAAAACTTTATCATTCTTATCTAACTAGCTTTTATTTATCGATCACCTCACTAACTCACTAAGTCATCATCTAGTCTATTAATTTGCGTTTTTATGCCATTACTTCATTTTATTGTCAATTTATTTTTTTTTCTTTTCTTTATTTTATTATTATTATTTGTTTTATTCTATTTTATTTTAGTTTTCATGTTTAAACATTTTTATTTCTCCGTTAGAAAATTATTTATTTATTTGTTTAAATTGTACTACTTCCTTGCATGCTGTCAGATCCTGATTTTTAAAGAATAATAAAAAAAAAGTTATTGAGAAGTCTCACGATGCACGTACAAACTGGCGCTATAAAGAATCACATGAAAGAGAAACACAAAAATAAAATTACTAGACAAATCTTGGACCACAATGTTGAAATCTTACATTACATTAACAACCATTATAATTTACGACTGGCCGATTCAATACTCATAGAATAGAACAAAGAAATCCGATAATAAATATTCAACAACGGGCAATTGGAATTCTTCCTACCAATAAATTTAGAAACAGAGGAATCATCGATAATGAAAACACGTAAAAAATGTTATATTAAACGAAGTTGAAGATTGTAAAACTAATTCAACAAAGTAGAGAATAGACACAGTATATATATATTTGAGCATCTGTGCACATACACAACATATCAATTTGAACACCGAAGATGGCATGGGAATCCAGAAAATAGCTGTTTTGTACTATCATGCATAAAATAAAAATTTTTGTTTGGAACTAAAGAAACTTGAAAATGATTTACGATCAACCGTTAGAAAAATCGAAAAGTTATATTGGAAGTTAACTAACGCCGAACGTGCTGTGATTTTCATCAATAATTGCATTTCTGACAGTAATGTAAATGTAAAGTCATATATTGTAATGTAAAGTTTGTGAAACGCAAATTATTATTTCTTCCATCACTGCTCACGAGGCAGCAAAAGCTAAGGAATAATGTGTTTTTGACGATGTCGATATGGTTGTCGTCATCATCAATGTTTTTTTTCAAACAATTTTAATTAAATCACTGAGTAGGTATGTTTTGAGTCGTTTTTTAAACTCAGCTGATGATAAGTCAGATAGGTTGGTCTTTAGGTGAGCTGTTCCAAAAATCTGGACTCGAAACTGCAAAATCTTCATCAACTGTTTTTAAATTACTATTTCGAATATAACAACGTATTTAAATCTGCAGACCTTAGGCATTCATAAGACGTTATTAGGCATTATTTACTAAGTATTTAGGAGTAAGACCATTTAGGCATTTAAAAATCATAACTCCCAACTTGAATCACTGTCTCACGGGCAACTAGTCTAACTTTTTAAAAATTAGTGACACTTGATCAAACTTTGATTTTCGATCTGTTACTTTAGTAGCCTAGTTTTTATGACTTGAAATTAAGATTATAATCTGCTAGATATACCATGAAGAAGACTACAGCATTAGTCTAATCTGGAACTAATCTTCATTTGATCTTCATCTGATCTGTTTTAATGAAACAAGTGTATTTTCTTCAATAGATTTCATAACTTGACGTAGTCGCCAAAGATGAAATAGATAGTTTTTGGCTAGCTAGTGAATCGACTTGTGGACCTGTTGTTTAACGTTAATCAAGTACGACACTTTATTGGTTATTGACCGTATCTCAAAATTTTATGTTTGTCGTGTTAATACTCACTGAGAAAAGTTCTAGCGTAGACATTAGCTGCCATGTACCAGCTAACATGAATTGGGTTTTAGTTTGATTCATCTTTGACTTGTTTTGACCCAATCACAAAATGACACATTCAACTTATAATACTTACTGAGAAAGTTTCTAGCGTAGACATTAGCTGCCATGTACCAGCTAACATAAATTGGGTTTTAGTTTGATTCATCTTTAACTTGTTTTGACACATTCAACTTATTTTTTTTAATACAGCTAACATGTAGAAATTGAGACAAAAATCTGAATATCGTTTGCATATCTATGACGGCAAAAACCACGTCCATATAGCAAATCAAGTATTTTCGGCAATATATAGAAAAAAACAGAACCGACCCATGGGCTTTGAAAGCCGACCAAAATAATGAATCTGCTGAGTTTTTCTAGTTAGAAATGATTCAAACCATGTAACCAGTCTTTCCAGCAGTATTTTATGTGTGTGTTTTTTTTACTAACCCTAACCCTGACCTATTTATTTGTTTACTTGTTTACAAGTTTATTAATTATCGTGCGTCAACAGTCACGGACACATGATGACTCACTCGACGAAGAAACCTTACGAGTGCCAGTTTACGCAATGCGACAAGAGTTATTGCGATGCACGCAGTCTTCGTCGTCATCATGAGAACCATCATCAACAACTCCTGGAGAACCATCCACTCGATTACACTTCATCGTCTGGCTTGATGATGGGCACACTCTGGAGTAGCGGATACAATCCTCTGGAGTTTGTTTCATTTCGTTCTCATCTATTTGTTTGGCATCATTTGTTCTTCAATTATTCATACATGTCACACGTTATGCTACATATAAAATTTTAAGTGTCATTTAATCACGAATGTGCTCTTTCTTATACGAATTTACTTTCGTGTACGGTTGCGTGGAAGTTGAGTGATAATACAAAAATTTAAAAAATTAAAAATGTTTAGTTGTATGTGTCTTTTAGATATTTATGGAAGAAATTTGAATGTTTTTTCTGTACTCGACTGACGCTCTGTATTTCCTTCCGTATTTACCGTTAAATGATTGCGATTTGTTTGATAAGCTTACTTTGCGTCAGTCACTCTCATTAATCCATTATTGTTGTCAGTTTTTTGTAAATTTACAGAAGAAGCAACACTCAGCTGTAACATAATACAAAATTTAAAATTACACGTTGAATTTTCAGCCTAAGATGTACAATTAATTATTATTATTATAAAAATGTAAATTCATTAAAAAATCAACTATCAGCGAGCCAAAGCCAGTAAAATGCTCAGTTTGTGGCAAGAGATTTCGTAACATGCCTGCTCTAAATGGACACATGAGGTTACATGGAGGATACACTAAACAGGTTTTTTTTTTATTTGCTTAAACATGTGTTCATTTTCTAATTATTTTACTTTTCACTTCGAAATTGAGTCGCTAGTTTGGCTTTATTTTTAGTCCGCTTAGAAAGGTATAGGTGCTTATGAAATTGCCTTATCAAGAAAGTTAAAATTGCGTGGATTGTTTATTAATAACAAGGACTATATCATTTGATTATTAATTGTAGAATTTCACGGCAAAATTATAATGCTGCTGTTGTTATTGCCCTTCCTTAAATTTCCAGTGGACGCGAGGCCAGCCAGTTTGCCATTGCGACCAGATTTCTCCATAGATCTATTACCTTGATATGTGTGGGGGGCTAAACAGGTGGGGACATCATCCGGATGTTGATGACAAAAAGGGCAGATGTTGTTGTGCCTGCTATCTATTTTTGCTCTGTGACTGTTAAAAAAATGCTACGACTAGAACGGAGTTAAGCAAGGGTCCGTCTAATTGCCCTGGACAGACATTTTTCTGATTTGTTTATTTTTGGTGTTTGTAGTGGCCATCCATTGAGCAACACTGGTGCCAAATTACGTTTCGGAAGCGGTTTTGGCGGTGTTGCTATGGAGAATGGTAGATGCTGTCATCAGAGAAACGTTGTTACCGTCTTACCGTCTGGGACCATCTTGAGCTGAGCGTGTTTTTTATGTTGCGGTGAGGTTGTGGTTGAGTTGTGATGATTTGGCTCGGGTGGCTTATGCTATGGCATTGTAGTAAAAATTGGGAGGAGAGAAGTTTTAAGTGCTGCTTCACTGGTAGCATTTGGTATCACAAATGCAGATGCTGTTCTAATGGGATGATATGACAGCCTGTGAACGTTGAAGCCGGTTGAAGCTGGTGTCGGATGTCAGCCGTGATCAGGCAGGGCAGGCGTACTCGATTGTGGTGCGACAAATAGTTTTGTATGTCTGCAGTAGAGTTTCCATGTCCTGGCCGAAGGAGGTACCGCTGAGAGCCTTTTAAAATACTGATCTTTCGGAGGCCTTGGTTGCTGCCATATTGTGGTGTTAAGAGAATGACAGCATTGTGTCAGATATCATAATAATCATGTCATATTATGTAAAAATATCCACATCATGTTTCGACCGGTTCAAGATCTGTTAGCTATGCGTGAAATTTTTTGAAAGTTTTATTTTTATCGGTAAGTTTGATTGAATCAGTAATAAGACAAATTATCTTTACGAAAAATGATGCAATCATGCTGCCTCAAATCAACTGAAAACGAATATAAACTCTGTTCATTTATTTATTATATTAGCTGTACTTGCACGACTTTGCCTGTGCCCGTAGTTTGAAAAGCTAAATATTATTATATTATAATCAAAATTTTTTAGGTTAATCGTGTTATTTGAACTGAGCTTTTTACTAAGCGGAAATTGTAATACATTTTCATTTCGATAAACAATCCTTATAGCTTTGTAAAATTGTTCCTAATTACTTATAAGAATGAAACAAAACAGAATCTTTGCATTTAATTACATTTTATTCGACCGAAAAACATTGTTTTTAAAATGAAATTTTTCAGCTAAAACCAAAATTAAAGTTCCATTTTGTTGTAATTTTTCAAAAATGTTTCAAAAATATTATTAACTTTTTTAATTTGAACACAATGAAATATAAAAACGCTTCAATAATAAGTTTATATTATGCGCACGCGCAAGTCGTTCCTAGAAGGCTGGATGACTGCCATTTTAGTGAAAACAATTGGTAAAACAATGAAAAAACAAAATTTTGGTTAGACTCAAGTTGTCAAATTGACGGGAAGATTAAAGAAACTTTTTCAACATCTACGTCACGTGGAACACACGAAGACAGATATGTAGGCTTTACTTTATCATATAGATTGTTCATACAGTTTGTATTGTTTCAGATTATCAAAATAACGCGTTTAACGTTTTAATGTAACTCTGAATATTTTCTAAGATTAATAAATAAATGAACAGAGTTTATATTCGTTTTCAGTTGATTTGAGGCAGCATGATTGCATCATTTTTCGTAAAGATAATTTGTCTTATTACTGATTCAATCAAACTTACAATTATTATAAAATGTAACATCTAAAACAATCAAAAAACATCTACAAAAAACAACAACCTTTGATGCAAAATAATATGAATTGTTTTCAGATTAAGGCTGAAATAGAAAACATCATTGAAGATGTTAGTAACGATGAAGTTAAAATTAGCCTTCAGCCGATGGAGATCAACAGTCTTTCAACTTCTGATATTATCTTCAAAGACGGTTTGAATGGTTGCAAAAACAATTTATTTATATAAAAAATTTGGGATGAAATTATTAAATAAAATGAATATGTTGTACAAATCTGGCGACCTGGAAAACAAAACTAATTTTAATAGTTTGTGAGCAGTAAATGTTGTAACAATTGAAAATTAATTTAACTAAAATTTAAACAAATATCTTTACAAATATCTTTTTTTTTCTACAGAGAAAGAAAGAAAAGCGGCGCTTGCATTATCGGATGCATCGTCGTTATCTTCCTCGTCATCTTCATCGTTGTTGAAAATAATAAACATCAAGCATGCAAGAACAAAAGAGTTTGGTTCATCCTATTTATCAAATTTGCCCGATTATGTTGATGACGGAAATTCGTTCAATGAACCATCAAATCCAAATTTGCAGCCACACGCTCTTCAGTGCCATCTTCAATCGACTGATGATAATATCAACTCTAATAATTTTATTGAAAAAAATGCCAACTCATTGATTGACATGCCTTCTGATACGAGTGCCAAAAACAACACGATTTGCATAAACAGTTCAGCTACTGATTTCAACAAATATAATTTCACAAACAAACTTGAACCGCATCAACAGCTTTCCTGTAGTCAGAATTTTGCTGATAATTTTTTTCCAATATCTCCAATAACAACAAAACCAACATGCCACATTGTTGAGTCCTCTTAACGAGTTCCTGCTTCGATGCTACACCCCCAACAACAC